CTGAGGTTGTTTTGGCCTCCTGTGAACAGCTACCTCGGGGCAGTAATTTAAAGCAGGAGTGGGGAAAATCTCAGAGCCACACGCCAAGCGCACTGCTTCACCCGCGGTCACAGCGGCAGTCACCTGTGCGCACCCCAAGGACGAGCACAGCTGAGGCGCGCAGCCAGCCTCTCTGCCTCCGGCTGCCTGATTCGTTACTCTTAGCGCTTGATGAATTGATCGGAGTAAAGGTCATTTAAAAATAACAAAAATAAAACGCAAAAAAATAAGTGTGGGTAATGCATGAAGAAAACACTTGGTCTGCGTGTATATAGCTTGTTATTTTTTTATTTTTTTATTTGAAGTTTTTAAGTTTTAACTTCTGTTTAAAAGGTGCGCTTTAATCGTCCTGCATGTCAGTGTCTCAGCATGCATGTCAGCATGTGTGTGCGCTATCATTTCTGCAACTCTGCTGAGTTTTGAGTTTTTGCATTGCCCTGAACACCTGAATAAATGAATTAACTTGAAAACTAAAAATTCCAGTTTATGGGTTGTCTCTATAGCTGCACAATGGTGCTGAAAATACCATATAAAATGAAATATGTTAATAATACATATAAATTCACAAATGATTATGTAGATCTTTGGCTTAAGGATGGAGACTGCGTGTGCGTCACTAAAATGCAACTCATTCTCTCTCTCTCTCTTTTAATTTTTTTTTAACTACTAGACATCCAATAATCTCAGTAAAGCGATTTTTCTTTCCTGCCTCAATAATCACGGCAGCCTGGGTATTGTGAAGACTAAATAACGCGCAGGGTAAACGCAGCAAATGACCGGCTTGTCCTGCTTATGTTAATTATACAGGTTATATAGAAAAATGACTGAGTCACGTTTACACCCAAAGGAGCTGCTCAGTCACAGAAATCCATGCCATGAAGCTTCCAGAGCAGTTTTTTCCTTCTTTTTTTTAATTTTTAGATAAAACAAATAATGTTACTTATTTCGTTTCTAGTTTATTTCATTCATTTTTCGTTCTTAATGCCACAGAAGACGTGGGACTCAACATGAAGTCATCAGCGCGACTTTTACTCACTGTGCGCGCTCGGCTCTCGGTGGCCCCGCTGCGTAACCTTACGGGGTCTGCCACTTCACGGCGGAGTTGCTGTGGCTCCTGGACGCTTCCACTTAGCAGTAACACCGCTTACAGCTGATCGCGGAATAACTAGGAGCGAACACATTTCATCAACTGACTCGTTGCAAAGGTGGGATCCTGCTACAGAACCACGCTCAACTCAGCAAGACCTTCAGAAAGACGCATTCTTCCACAAATGTCTAGAAAAGTTTGATGATGATAGAATATTTCCCAAAACAAAACAAAAAAATATTGCTAATAATAAACGAATACCAGTAATTAATGTCAGTTATAATTAAAATATAACCTGAATGTCTTACTCCGCGAGTTTGTTGGGTTTTTTCTCTTTTGTAGAATTTTACATCTGTGCTTTTACTCATCTACAAAGCTACGGAGTTTAGACTGAAACTGATCACCCTGAGGTGAGGTTAAAGGATTTTTGAATGTCTTTAGACAGGTCTGATTCTCTAGTTGTTTTCAGTACTTGTTTATAGCTGCCATAATATTTCATTGCGAAGAATTTAACATATAATATCTTTGAGACAAACAGTGGGTGTCAAGAAATGACAGCAGTCATGTTTTAAAACTATAAACCATCACATACAACGACAGTTATCAGCATAAACAGACACACTGGATTTATATAATGCATTGTGCTAAACTAGCTCTCCATTAATCCTTTGTGAATTTATAAGCTATATTCAAACCAAATTAAAATCAGTGCAGAGATACACATAAAAGTGTTGAAGTTTTTTGTTCTTTTGTTCTTGCACATTTTACAGCTTTTACAGCAGAATGCATGCTGTTGTATCCAGAATGATATTTGCCTTCTTTTAAATAAACAGAGCCTTCACGGAAAACCACTGGGCTGTTGCCTCACAGCAGGGGGGTCCTGGGTTTGAACCCTGGCACCCTTTCTGTGTGGACCTTGCACTGACAAAAAAAATTGCTAAGTTAATGTTGACTGTCTGAACCGAATACATTCTTGTCAAAGAGATTGTTGATCTCAAGAGTTCCACTTTCTGGTTAAATAAAGGTCGATGCCTAAAAATGTACACGTTAGCTATGCTCTGTGCTTTAATGCACCTTCCATCATGGATGCTGGCTATTGAACTGCACTGATAACAAGTCAGATGTCCTTCTCCTCTTTTGCACAGAGAATTAAAGGTTGATGTTATATATATATATATATATAAAAGGACTTTTATATTATGATTGATCAGATCTTATTACAGTTTTCCTCTTCTTCTCTCTTTTAAATTGTTGTTGCACTGTATGATTTTAACCTGTATTGAGAAAGAATTGTGCTAATGTAACTACTTCCACTAGAGAACCATGTGTGTTTCTGTACACTGCAGCCTGAAGACCCAGAAATCATAGACATGGGCTGTTTATTTATTTAAAATCTTCTGCTCCAATTTTCTTTTTTTAATGTTTTCCTGATATGAAATGTAAAAATTGCATAAAATTGTAATTTAAAAAAAATATTATATATATTTTTGTATAGAGAGCTCATGTTAATTTGAAAAAGTCATACTTTATTTTAGTATTCTGAAAGATTTCTGTACCCATTTTTTTAAAATGACCTCTGAGACTTCTGTACCTTTAGCATAACCATACATTAAATTTTTATTCAAACTGCAATCCCGTAATTCCCCCTGTAGATTTTTCTTCCAGTATTACGTTACATCAATTATAAAGAAAGTAATAAAAGGTTGCATGTGTCTCTTGTGGAAATAAACAGAAAACCTGCAATAATGCAATAATCAATAGTCATAATCGTAGCATTAAGATTGCAGTGAATCGCTCCCCTATGCTGTAATGCACTTTTTTACTGTTTCATTTTTTAGAGGCTCTGCAATTTAAATGACTAATAAGCTGATCAGATGGCTGTTTGTGGAGCTCGCTGTAGGCATTGTTATCAAACTAAGACTCTTTTCCATTAGTTGAACAACCTGTAGGCTGATCAGCTGCTTGGCTGGCTTTAATCACGTCGTCATTGTGTGCAAACTCACTCATGGCATTTATGTTCAAAGACAGATCTGCATTTCATTCAATTTAAAAATAAAAATCGGATTTATTCCAGCTCTGCTAAAAACATTACCTCACACTGGTCATGGTGGAAGGTCCCATCACTTTGCAGTTTGATAATGGATGTGTGATGGGATTTGGATATAGGACCCACAGATAAAAAAACTAAGGGGGACTTAATGGAGCCGGTCTCACACACCGAGACATTGATTCTGCTCCAGGAACAGATAACCACTAAAACGTCGACGCCTGTATCAGATAGCTCACAGAGACTTCAAAGTTGCATTGTGTTTTAATAATGCATACTACAGATCTTGGCACTTTGCTCTCTGGCACCGCATATCTTGATTTTAGAAAAATCAATAAAATCTAGCTGCGGAAAAAGTGTCCAAACACTTAGGCAAACATTTGAGGGGGGATGCATAGTAAGTGCAGGAGGTAATATGGGATTTAGTTTAAAGACAGAAAAGAGAGTTTGACACTTAAAGGTTAAAGGTCACTGCATCCAAGGCCTGGACATGTTAAACAATCTGCCCCCCTCTCCCCACCACACACACACCCACACACACACCAATTACTGAGGCTACTGTTGGACCAGGACAATTAATCAAGAAGGTCCTCTTTGTTTTTCCTCTTGTGATAACAGCTCAACTGGTGCTTTGCATATGAAGAGCAAAGCAAAGACACTGACAGACAAGCTTCAACTCAGTCCTATTTTACAATTGGACAAAAAAAAAGTGTTTGTTCTTTTTAAGATTGTTAATGTTTTGAGTAATCATCAGGAGACTGTTTAAAACTAATCACATGACTCCCTGCTGCCATATTTAGATTAAAGATGAGTGGCTTCTAAAGTGGCCTCCTTTAAGTGAAAATATAACACTTTATCCTTCTGATGCACATTTCACTGAGCCACATTACTGGAATGAAACCACAGAGCACTAACACAAATAAAATATAACACCAACACAGTAAAAATATATGCAAAAACAAAAACTAATACATAATAAAATATATAACTGTGTATAGATATAGAAATATGTGCACAGAAAAGTTGCTGGCTAATCTTCGCGCTCTATCTTGCTCTGTATGTTTTCTGTTTCTTGGGCAGCCATCATGTGCCGACAATCCCGAAACACAAACAATCACATGCAGGTCGTATTTTAATTAACTGGTTTCGACGATCAATCAACTTAGGTGATAATGGGTACGAGGGTGGGGCCGGAGTCAAGGGGTGGGGGTACTTCCAGTTAGCCATCCAGCTGTTGATATGTCACCGGGATCCCCTGTGGAGCCCTCAGGTGACAGCCCATAAAAGGTGACCAGAGGTAAACAGGGGACACTCAGAGACACGTCGAGGGAAAGACGAGCGACCTCCATTCTCAACTGCTGTACATCCAGAGATCCATTCTAGCTGCTGCCATGTGGAAGGACTCAAATGGTAAGAGCTGCTCTCCAGATTTGAAAACTTAGAAAAACTAAACTGTGTGTTTTCAGGTTTTTCAGCAAAAAGCACTGTGTGCTGTGCTTTTTGCATGCTCAGTCATCCAGGTTGACAATTTTTAAAATCCCAGAAAGTTGAATCTGTTCATTGGGACGCAGCGTTTCTCATCCAAGTGATGTCTGGAGACTGAAAGAGTCACTTAGATGAGTGAAGAAACATTTGTCCTGCTGGAAACACTGCACCCGGATGACCAGTCAGCTTCCTGGGATACTGCACAGTGACTCACTCCAACAAGATCACAAGAAAGCTATTAGCTGGATTACCACATTTTACATCTTTATGTAGCTGCTAAGATAGTACAGCAAGAAAATTGGTCTTACATCCCGTCTGATCTGATGGAAAAATCTGCTTTCGCTCCTTTCCACAGATGACGCCAATCCTGTGGCCTTCGGCAACGGCTCATCTCGCACTGCCAGTCGCAGGAAGAGGACCAGCTTCTCCAAAGAACACGTGGAGCTGCTGCGCGCCACCTTCGAGACTGACCCATACCCTGGAATCACCATCAGAGAGAACCTGTCCCAGACCACAGGCCTGCCCGAGTCCCGCATCCAGGTAAATATTTGTTGATGGAGCAAGAAAGATATAAAGATGAAATAAATACAGTTTGTAAGTTTAGATTAGGTTAGGATTTCATTTTTGTTTAATAAAATAACAATAATTATGACATTATTTGACCTGCAAGCTGGTTAAAGACCCCCATGGACTTTGTACGTCTTCCGCTGTTGCTGTGCGGGGACTTGATACCGCAGTCACTGTATGTCTTTATCTGTTGAGATAACACCAGCTGTTTTTATCAGGAGCTTATTTGAGGGAAGAGACACACTGACAGCTGATAGCTTCTGCTTAAAAGAGAAAGATGATTATTAACACAGCAGAATGGAGTGCTTTAGCTGTAGCTCACGTATTTTTCCTTCATTTCCCGTCCAGGTGTGGTTTCAGAACCGAAGAGCTCGCACCCTAAAATCAAAAGGATCCAGCAAAGACCAGTGCCAGTCTCAGATCCCAGCGGACAGTTCACAGGCTCACCACCACACACAGGCCTTCGCACCTCAAATGCAGCAGGTGTTTAACAATGGACAGTTTCCTCCTGCCTTCAATGCCACCGGAGCGTATGGACAGTGTAGAGCCGCGTATGGGATTCAACCAGGAAGCTCAATGGGCAATAACCCCAGCTCAGGCCTGTGGGAATACATGCCTCAGCCAGGCTGCCAAAACTCCACTGGGGTTCCTGCATGGCATCAGCCTCCCATGGAGATGGTAAGCTACAACTCAAGCTCCAGCCAGGCCGCCTCCATGTACCCAAGTTCAGACATACATGAGCTCCTTCAAATATTCAAAGCAGACACTCCTGATTCTGGATTCTTCAACAGCAGCCAAGCGAGCAGCCCAACGGATTGTCTGGAAGTTCCGAGTTCGCAGATGGGGAGTATTCCGACTCCAGCACCTCTTGAGTACGGCAGGGATGCAGGACATCCGCCAGTGGTCCAGGATAGCTCACTGCCAGTGCTGTCATTGCAAGATATCATATGGGAGCTGGATGAGGAATGGATGGGAGGAAATGGACTGGACAACGGAGTCACTGGAGAGGAGCCCCCTTACTACTGATGGCTATGATGAGTATTTTTAATGGCTCAAGTGTTTAACGTAGGATCAATAGTTTCAAAATATTTTTAAAAAGCCATGTTTTTGCAGTATTTACTGCACATTTTTAGATTTTTTTTTTTGATTTTTTTCAAGTTTTCTTAAAAAAAAAATATATATATATATGAAAAAAAAAAAAAAAAGAACTAAACAAAAATCAATAGTTATATTGCATAATACTGTTTTCTTGGCTTCCCCTTTCCAAGAATGTACTCTCAGCTAATTCATGACCAGAGATTTGGCTCTGCTCACATCTGCACAGCCGCTGCTGTCCAGATGTGACAGATTTGGTTTGAAGCTGCGGAGGAAACTAGGTCACATTCTACAGCCAGTAGATGGTGCCTGTGAGTTGTAAATATGAGAAAAAGGGGATTTTCTTTGTGTGCAGAGACATTATGGAGCGTAATATAAAAACGTGTTAAATCCCAATGAATGCTGAAATTACATGTAATCTGTAATAAGACTTTATTTAAAAAATAATTACAACAAAAATAATCTATAGATGATTATTGTATAATGTTTCCATTTTGATTGATTAATTTTAAGGATCTGATAACAGAGGATGTTGTTTGCTGTAAAGATTCTGAAGCTCTGTGAGGTTAATTATTGTTTTGGGAAATGAAGATGTTGATATAATATATTTGATTCTGTTAAGCTTTGTTCTTATGTTACATGGCTGATATATAGTGTGTGATAATATGGAATATAGAGAATATACAACTATGATTATGATTCTGTTATTATGTTCGCATGTTTTGCCAATAAAGTTTATTCTAAATGAACGTTCACATTGCCTCCATGACTCATAACTTACAGCATAGTACTGTGACATCATGGTATCCTGATACAGTGATTCTTGTTCTGTAATTTCTACTTTGTTAGTATTTTTTTTTGCCTTGAATTCAGTTTAGTTTTAGTTTATTCGTTTTTTTTTAATTTTATATTCATTTAGTTTTTCAAGTTCAAGTTGAACAAAGATGTTTTTTTCACAGCTAGTTTTAGTTTTCAGTTTAGTTCCTGTTAACTATAGTGAGCGGGTAAAAATATCCACCCAGTTATTTGGTTTTTATTACAGGCTTTTATATTTATCAGCTCTCTGCCTGTGCTGCCTTTCATTTCTCTTTTTTTCACCTGTGAGTGTCTTCTTGTTCATGGCAAGGAGGTTAACTTCTTTTCCACTTTAATATTTTATATGTGATACAAGCAACCATGAAGCGCTGAGTCTGGTGAAGGAATCGATTTACATGGCTGCATTTTTTTTGACAAAAACACAGATATTTGTCGATTATTGCATCACAAGAGGAGATTAGTGTGACCACTTCAGTCTAAAATACAATCAACCCATTTTTCCAGAGTTATGGTGTTGAAGAGGTGAGAGAGAAGTATTTATTTATTTATTTATTTATTTTGTTAAACATGATGTCAGTGAACTTTAACTCCGACCACCAGTTTTCCGTCAGGTCATCCTTGAATCCAAGTGAAAATTTGTGTCAGATTGCCAGAATTTAGATTAATGCAGCTTTATTTTACTGTACAAAAAATATTCAAACATAAAGGCACTAACGACCAAAAACTAGAAGCTATAAACAAGGAAATAAAGCTAGGAAACTGGAAAACAAAGACTGGAACAGAGAGCTAGGAATTACCACAAGCATGGAGGAAATCACACAGTTATGTGGGACAAAGCAACAACAAGCAGAGGAAGACAACGGGCTTAAATACACAGAGGGGTAACGAGGGAAGTGGAAACACAGCTGGAACAGATCTAACATACTGAGACGGGGAGGAAGCAAAACTGAATGCACTGAACACGGGGCAAGCAACTATCAAAATAAAACAGGAAATATGAGACACACAACAAGAAGCCAACTGACTGAACACAGAGAGCAGAGGGAGCGAGAGACACGACTGGAACACAGATGAATAAACACGGAGACAGAACTTATCATACACGATAGACATGACAGATCAAATACAGGGAACGCAGGAAGAAGACAGAGAGGCATCAAAGGGGAAATGAAAAAGGAACTAAACGATCTAATCAGAACTCGTAAGCACAAGAAAACTAAAAAATAAATCACTCAGGGAAAATAACTAAACTCACAATATAATTTCAATATTTACATTCTGATGATGTAGAAGTGTATGAATCAAATATGATGGTGGTTAAACGTAGTACTGTTAAGTGCTTTAAATATGCAATATTCCAAATCGCCAACAGGGGGCGACTCCTGTGATTTCAAAAAGGAGTCTTTATACAGAAGTCTTTGAGGCAATTGTCTGCAGATCTGTGATGATTGATGGGCTTTATCTCTAGTTTCACATCTATTGAATACAACATGAAGTTTATTTGGTAAATTATGCTCCCTGTTAGAGCCAATCTGGTCTTTAAGTGATGACGTATGAACCCTGCTTCCGGGTCCAAACTACTCTGCATTTATTAAGGCTGTTATGTTTTTAACATGTTTGAATGCTTTGTATCGTGTTCTGTTTAATCTGAACAAGCCCCTAAAAGAAGTCAGTGATCACTGTCGGCCTCTCTCGGTTTTTATTAGCACTATTCATTTTAACGCTAAAACCATATGAATGTGACTACAGCCCACTAAACTAGCAAGCGAACTCCCTGCTAGCTTCTAACACCGTCAAAATTCTGTTTTCATGGATGCCTGGAGGTTAAACTTAATTGTTACACCTGGTAGAGAAGCAAACACAGATCATTTGATTAAAGATGAAAGAATCTGGACAGTTTGTAACTCTCAGTGATGCCGCAGTGTTTGTTTGACGTTGGGAACTGAAGCAGAGTTTTGTCCCAGAATTGACTAATGATGTCAGACTTAAAGACTGGATAAGGACAATAGAGCAGGGCATGTTTGTGGTTGGGTCTTCTCTGTAATTTATACACCACATCCCGTGGTGTATCCCTCAGTTTTGGAGTTTTTGGAGACAGCAAAATTGCTCCGCTTGAAACTTCACATTGGGTAATCACTAATGGGCGAAGTTATGGTAGCTACATCCATATACAGGGTTACACCAGAAACCTCTGGATGTTGCAGTAATATTTAATGTTGACAGCTGAACCCTGGGGGACCAATGCTGGCTACACTGTGAACTGTGCACTATGGATGTCGTTCTCCTGATCGGATGCGTTGGCTAGATATTTGAACTTTGTGGACTCACTGGGGGATTTGGGGGAGACCTCTCTCATCACCCGTGTTAATCATAGATATGTAAGTAAGATCATGTTGACGGGCTGTAAGCTATCTGAAATTTCTTTTCTTACATTTTGTTTGTTGGTCTGTAGGAACAGTCCATAGTGCCACATTTTATATTTTCACAAAGAGCCACTCTGTTTACTTTCCCCGAGCACCAGTGACCCTAAAAGCCAAGGTTAACCTGTCAGGTCAAGAAAAATTTAATTTCATCATTTTATATTCTCTGCATGAATGTCCTGTGACTTCCTCCGACCTGATGACCTGTACACATGTTTCCTTATCAAACACGCCAAGGAAAAAGCCCAGGATAGTACACAGGATGTCAGGCTCGAGGCTTTGCACTGTTTTTCCTGCAACAGTGAAACGTGCGTATATTGTTTGTACTGTTTTGGCCTCCTGCCTTCATCCTTAAGATGAGAGGAAGGGAGTTGTCCTTTTGTTAGAGTCTGGCGTGGGTTCCTGTCCCTTAGGATAAAAAAAGAGACACACAATAGGCTAAGACGCAGGAGGCAACGTGGCTCTTCAGCCTGTTGTGGTCCCTAAAGATAGATCAGCAGAGGAAATGTTGCAGACTGTTATTGCCGAGCAGGTGTTCACAAGCACATGATGCATAATAACAAGATGCAGACAGCTGAGAGTAAAGAATACTACTACTGAACCAACATAGGATTGAAAGCAGTTCTTTTTGTGTTTCTCTTTCAACAACCGTCCCCCCCTCGAGTCCTCAGTAACAGACTCAGCTTATATTGAAAAAGTGATATAAAGTGACCCTGATATGGCCAGCTTTTCAGGTTTTTAAACTTATTTCATTTCTCTATTTGAACTACCCCTCAATAAGTCTTGGCATGGATATCAGTTATCTGTTCCCCGAAACAGTAGCCGATCACTAAGAAGCTAAGTCGTCAGATCATAAGTGATGGGTTCCCAGATTGTTTCAGCTGTCCCCCTATGGGTGTGTTTTGAGATCCAGGAAAGAGCTATTATAAAAACATAATTCAAACTCCAGTCCGTCCTTGTGACTGACGGGATTAAACAGGATGAAATGGCAGTTCTGTCCACTGACACGACTCATGAGGCCAAGCTAAAAGTTTTTGCCAGTTTGTTTGCATGTTTGGAAATGCCATTTCCCTTCTTTTCACTTATGTAGTCTTGAGAGATCAGGCCATAAAATATCCTGAAGACGTCATATTATTCCAGCAGAGCACTTCACTCTGAGACTGCAGGTTTACTTGTGGTTCCTTTGAGTTTCTAAAAGTAAAATGGGAGGCAGAGCTTCCGGCTGTCAGGCTCTTCTCTTGTGGGACCAGCTCCCAGTTTGGGTTCAGGAGACAGACACCCTCAGTACTTCTAAAATTAGACTTTAAACGTTCCTTCTTGATAAAGTTTATAGTTAGCGCTGGAACAGTGAAATCAGTGGAAATTATACTTGCATTATACTTTTGTTTCTTTGTAGTTTTGTATCTTGTTTATATCTCCTTCAGTGACAGACTGCTGCATCCTAGATGCATGAAGGAGTGTTTCCGCAGGTCCTTCCTCCCTGCAGCTGTCAGACTGTAAAATCAAAACTGCTCCCAACAAACAGATGTTTACATCAGCGCTGTAATTTGCACTAATAAACCAAACAACTAATACTGTTATAACTTGCACATTACTTTTCTCAGTGTATATACACTAACTTATTGGAAGTTAAATGTACTTTTCAATGCACAGGTACAATACACAATCTGTACTTTTCTAATTATTCTAAATATTCATAACTATTTAAACATCTTTCAGTTTCCTGCTCTGTTTGCACACTACAACCTGGGTTTGCCACATATC